CTCTCTCTCTCTCTCTCTCTCTCTCTCTCTCTCTCTCTCTCTCTCTCCTTCTCTCCTTCTCCCTCTTTCTCTCTCCCTTTGTCCCCTTCCTCCCTTGCCTCCGATGGACTCTCCAGATCCCTTTGGGGAGAACAGCAAGTTACTGATTGTAATGGATTGCTTATAAAAAGAACTTACTTATGAAAAAGCATTGGGGAGAGGAGTGGGGAGGAAGGGGCAGAGTACCCCATTCTTCAGGGCCACGAGAGAGGGAGAAACAAGAAAACTGCACTGGGGCCAGTTCGTTTCTGCTTTGCTTGGTATCTCCTCTCAGCGTCTAACACTAACTTTGATTTCCCTTAAACATGAGCAGAGCTGTTGGAAGAGACGGGTTGTAAAGACACACACACACACACGCACACACACACACACACACACACACACACACCTCCCCTCGGTCCCCAAGACCACAGTAGCTACTTTCTTTAGCTTGGAGCGGAGGAGTCTGGTATCTCTCTTCCCTCCTTCCACAACCCTCTGAGTCCAGCTCAGGACATCTATCTGGCTGTTATTTGACCACCCCCGCAAGGTTGAGCTTTGCTTAGAAATTCTGTTCTACTCTTCTGAGAATCCCTAGAATTAGGGACATTTAGGCTTGAGGAGAAAAGGCTGGAAAGCAGGAGTATGTCCACCATTAACTTGAGAAATTGAGGGACTAGAATGAATATAAAATTTCTTTATTGGACAATTACTCTAAAAACGTGCTGTGTTGGGAACCTTTCTTCCTTTTTTTAACTCTTTTGGGAAGCAAGGGAAGAGAGACACAAACTGACAGAAGAATGCTTGACTGAGTCACTGTGACAGAGACAAACAGACAGAGGGAAACAAAGACACAGAGACAGAGACAGAGACAGAGAGAGGTTTCCAACAACAAATGACAGTTCAGGTGGCACTTTTGGAAATGTACCAGAGATCTTCTGAGAAGAATCGTAGCGTGTTTGAGTATCACAACCCAAGTAAGGACTTGCGTCCCATTGCAAAGTTGCTTTTAGAATGA